CCGGAGATGGGGGCTCTGGGGTTAGCATTTTCTGTTGGGCGAATTCATTTAACCGTGAATGTAGCTCTGTGACGGGGGCCAGGGGTTCCCCTGCTGGGCCTTTTGCTGTCTTGCCCTTGTGGTCGCGTCCTGACCTGGCAGGATCGCCCTTTGGTGCCTCAGCAGTAACTGGGCCGGGGGTGGCTGCTTGGCCTGAGCCCCCCGCGAGTGCCTCCCTGTCCTCCTCTCTAGGCCGCAAGGTGGTGGTTGTGCGCTGGTGCGGGCTCAACATTTCTGGCAATTTCTACAGAAACAAGTGTAAGTTATGGCCTGGGAGAAGGACTAGACAGGGTTGATGTGTGAGGTGCTCAGGTTCCATAGACCCTGAAAGCGATCCCCCCAGTGGTTGGGGGGGCTAGTTTGAGTTCCAGAATAGGCCCTCAGAAGTGGGTGTGGGAAGAAGCTGGTGTTTCCCTGGGGACTGTACAGCCTCAAACGCTCTCCCCTCTCGTCAGTGAAGTACCTGGCCTTCCTGCGCAAACGGATGAACACCAACCCGTCCCGCGGCCCTTACCACTTCCGAGCCCCCAGCCGCATCTTTTGGCGGACAGTGCGAGGTGAGCTGGGCCTGAGGCCCGCGGGTGGGGATGGGGCGGGTGGCCCATGATGAGGACTTCTCCCACTCAAGTTCGAGTTTCCCAACCATGAGATGACTCCACATGCACTACCATCTGAGGCCACCGGTCCGCCTGCCTGGTGATGGGGTCTTGGCGAGCCCCTCTGAGCAGGGTTGCTGTCCCCCTGCCCACAGGCATGCTGCCCCACAAGACCAAGCGAGGCCAGGCCGCCTTGGACCGCCTCAAGGTGTTTGACGGGATCCCACCGCCCTACGACAAGGTAAGCGCGACCGGGCCGGCCCAGCATCCCTGTGCCTGGCGTGTCCGTGATGATCCACCATTACCTACATTGTTTGAGCCTCATGAGAACAGCACTGGCTGAGACACCTGCCCAGCCAGCCTTCCCTGTCTGTCCCGCACTCAGGGCCCCTAAGCCCCTCTCCTTCTCCAACAGAAAAAGCGAATGGTGGTTCCCGCCGCCCTCAAGGTTGTGCGTCTGAAGCCCACCCGCAAGGTGAGTCCGGGTTCCGTGGGGCAGGCGGACTTGGGGGGCTGCGCATGGGGTCCCCGAGGCTGGCAGATGATGGTTTTTTCTCACGATGGTCTGCGGATGCCACCTGGGCACTGCCGAAAATGCCAATGGCTTAGCTGATGCCAGGAGGAGCGGGGAGCCCCTTACACGGGGGAAGGGGGTGTGTCTTCTGATTTAAACTTGGATCCTTTGAGAAGCCTTCAGCCCCCTCTTCAGCCCCTCCCCGATCTAGGCTCCCATTTATTTACCATTGCCTTCCCCCCACCCCAGTTTGCCTACCTGGGGCGCCTGGCTCATGAGGTGGGCTGGAAGTACCAGGCGGTCACGGCCACCCTGGAGGAGAAGAGGAAGGAGAAGGCCAAGATGCATTACCGCAAGAAAAAGCAGCTCATGGTGAGCGCGGGGGCACCGCACGCCTGGGCAGTGGGGCCCGGGCCCCTGGGGAGGGGGGGGTCACCGGCAGCAGCTGCTGACCACAGCCTGTTCTAACCCTACAGAGGCTACGGAAACAGGCCGAAAAGAACGTGGAGAAGAAAATTAACAAATTCACAGAGGTCCTCAAGACCCATGGACTCCTGGTCTGAGCCCAATAAAATTGACTGTTATTCCTCATGCTTGGCCTGGCCTGCCCTTCCTCCATCGCCGCCCTAGGATGTGGGGAACCCCAGGGGCTGTTCCGGGGCCACAGGCACCTTACCTTGGGCCCTAGAAGGCTGGGGACACGGAAGGGACCTTAGTCACTGCTACTTAAGAAAGGCCTTTCAAAAGCTTGACCCGGCCCTGTCAGTTGGGCATAATTTGCCTGTGACCTACTCAGAGTTTTAGGAAACGAGCAGCTGGAACAGCTAGTTCCCTTTCAGGATTTACAAGCTGGAAAACTCTCTAAACTTCCCACATGATACTAGACCGCAGCTGTTAGGATGTAGCAAATGCTTGGGGGCAGGATGGACCTGGTGTTGTACAGAGGGATTTACAGATGCAGACAGGACGGCAGCCAGTCTCGGGCATCGCACTTGCACGTTCCTGTACCTTGTGACCAGAAAATGAATAAATTATTTTTGAAGAAATTTGGCGTCTTTGCCGTGTGTGTCTGCAACAGAGGCAGGCCCTTGGGGGCTGTCCACAGATAAATGGCTAAATTCTTAGCCTCTTAATGCACGGGAGAATTCACCTTTAGAGATCGACCTGCCAACAATTTACTCAAACCATTGTCTGTGGTGTCTGGTGCCCCAATTGACAGCTGTCTACACTCTTCAGCTGCAGGGTGTGGAACTGCCCCGTAGAGCCACCCCTTTGTGGGACGGGGTCCACTCCACTCGGGTCATCAGCCACACTTGCTTTGGGGGAAGAAATGGGCAAGAAACATTTGCATGTGTGGGATGTTTACGATGGAAGTGGGCATGTTAGATCTGCCTGGGTGCGTGCCTGAAAGGGTAGATACACAGGTGGAAGCCCTTGGGTCACCTTCGATCACCATCAGGCCTGTCTCCCTTTCACTGATGAGGTTTAGGAGGAGTCACCTGATCCCGAGCCAAACCCAGAATTCCACACAAGCCCTCGGGTTTGATGAAGGAAAAGCTGTCCTGGAAAAGAAGCTGAATTCACGCAGCCCCTGGGATTGGTGTGCAATATTTAGAAATAATTTCCTAATTCAGTTCGGCATTCAAATGCCCGACCTCGGCACAAAGGGAGCTAGTGGAGGACAGTTCCCAGGCAAATCACAGCTTGTACACCCCGCCACTCTATCCTGCACCATCTCCAAAACAGCCAAGATCTAACATGGGTGGTGACACCTCCCCTCCTTGGTTCCTGGGATCTGCCTCCAAAAGCAACTGAAGACATGAAGCGTAATTCTAAAATCTGACAGAACTGTTATAGCAGCACAATCCCACTGAAATCACAATCCATTAAAAACACCACTTTCCACTTCAGAAGACACCGATAAGATGACAAACCACAGACAGAAAATACTTGCAAATCTCTTTGAAGGACTTACATTCCAAGTATTTATATTTAAAAACCTCTTATAATAAGGAAACAAACCAAATGAAAATTAGGCAAAGATTTGAATAGACATTTCACCAAAGAAAATATATATACAAACGGCCAATAAGCACCTGAGAATAGAATTAACATTCAACATTAAAGAATGAAAATAAAATCTCTGGGTGGACAATTCGAGGAATCAAAGCTCCAGTTCCGTCTTGCCCAACTACCTACCACCAAAGCATGTGGGCACACCTCTCCAGTCCACGGGGGTGCCATAGGGAGGGTCTTGGGGTTTTTTTGTTTTTTTTAAATAATGATTCGGGGGAGAGAGAAACCTGGGACCTTTCAGTCCACAGGCCAATGCACTATCCACAGAGCCAAACCCGCTAGGGCAGGAGGGTCTTGTTTTAATAGGCATTTCTGTGCTCAGTGGGGACGGCTCCAGATCAAATAGTATTTGCATTTTTGTTATGAAATGCTGGGAAACGGTGTCTGTGAAATCTGACAGCGTTGGCTGAAGTTTATTATTGGACACCAAAGCTGTTTACAATGCAGGTGAAAAATCAACCCAGCCATAAAATAGATAAGTGAAATACAAATGAAAACGGGGGTGGGGGGGGGGGGGGGATCAATGTATTGCAGGAAGGAAAGGAAAGAGTTAAAAGTTAGACGGGGAAAGGAGAGAAGCTGTTTGATGAGACTATAAATGCTGTTTCCTATTGTGGGTTGTGCTCAAAACGCTGAAAAGCTAAGGACCCAGCAGCGCCCTTGCAGAGTGAAGCAGTATTTCTTCTGCTTTTCCCTTATCACCAAGATCTCCCCAGCCACCCTGAACACCTTGCAAAATAGAGCTTTTTACACACCAGAGAGGAAATCGCACCTAATCGCACCGCCTGGCGATGTAAACCGCTGGGCACGCGTTCTTAGCTTTTTTCTAAGTAACGTTTATACAGGTGAACACGCATTGTTGATAACAACGGTGGGCCCTGCCTTTTAAAAAACAAAACAAAACTAATACCTTAAATACTTTCCAAGTCGTTCAAAAGTTCCAGGAACTACGTGTTTGTTTTTTTTCCTACCAAGAAAAATTGTAAAGATATTACAGGAGCTCTAAAACAGAAAGTCCCCGTTAATGCTACCCTGAAAGGACAACCACCACCCATTAAAAATGTATCATTGAAAATTCACAAAGAAATCAAGTGTAAAACAAATTTAAATAAGCTTTCAAATGACATGGTAAGTTGATAGCATGAATATTTCATATATCCTGTACTGCCCAACGTGGTGGAGGCTGGCACCGTGTAATTTTAAATCTGATGAAATGAAAGGTAAAAGTTCAGGTCCTCGGTGGCTATGGTGCTGGAAAGCGCAGACATTTCCATTGTCGCAGAAACCGCGCCGATACGGACAGAAAATCAGCAGAAGGGTCTGGGGGTGAAACGGGACACAGGAGAACGACTTTCACTGAAAAAGCGCAGGAGCAGCACCCGCCCCGCACAAAGTTGGCGGCGCCGCCGCGCAGGTCCCAACACTTCACGAGCTCCCTCCCCGCAGAAAGATGGCAGCCACCTCATCCCGCTCGAGCCCTGTACGGACACCGCCACGCGGTCCCCAAAGCCCACGTGATCTCACGGCGCGCAGACACCCGGCCGCCTCCCTGTAACTCTCGCGATAACGTGGGCGGGCTCAGGGCTGGCCGCGCCTTCCCAATGCGAACAAGCGCGTCCAAAGGATGGCTGAACTATCGCGAGATGGTACCTGCCCCGCCTCTCCGCCCTCCTCCATCATGGCGGCGTCGGTGCAGTCTCCCAATCAGCTGCTTGCTGAGAGACGTCGGTCAATCAGAGACGCGCCCAAAGCACCGCCCCAAATCGTGCTACTCGGTCCCCTATTCGTCACTTCCTCTCCAGTCCCTGCGCAGTCGATAAGGAAACCCGGACGCCGCTGTGGCTTTCTTTTTTTCAAGCGGCCGGGAAGATGGCGGACATTCAGGTGCGAGCTCGGGCCCTCTCGTGCCTCAGGGGCGTGTCCGGGATAGCGGGGCCCCGCGCCCCAGTTGGGGGAGTTAATTCCGGGCGCCCCCGATCTCCCGGGGGCTAATTCGGACAGAGGGCGCGTGTCTGCGTTATCTGCGTTAGCGCCTCCTCAGTCCCGGGGGCTCCGCACTGGGAAGTCGTGTACGTTAGATGAGCCGTGGATCCGGGTGGATGTCGTTGTGTCTTGGACAGTAATCCTCCCTGAAAGGTGCCCGAGGTGCCATTCTGCCTCCGGGTTGTAAGCAGTGAATTCTGCAGGCGGCGGGAAGTGTTTGGGAGCGTAAACGCTGAAGTGACCCCGGGTTAGATTTCGGTCTGAATTAGAGGGACATCTGGGGTCAGAGTTCTCGGAGGCGATTCTGGGGCAGGAGACCTGGAGGGGGGGTGGTCCTGGGGGTTCCGGGAAGGTCTCCAGCCCGGCTGCGGCCTCACCCGCCCCCTCGTCCCCCGCAGACGGAGCGAGCCTACCAGAAGCAGCCCACCATCTTCCAAAACAAGAAGAGGGTTCTGCTGGGAGAGACCGGCAAAGAGAAGCTCCCGCGATACTACAAGAACATCGGTCTGGGGTTCAAGACGCCCAAGGAGGTAGGACCCCGGGGAGGAAGAAGGAGACCCGGCTCCGCACATGTGCCGGCCCGGCTGCCCCGCCCACATCCGCGTGTCCCCCGAGGGCTGCTGGGAATTGTAGTTTGTCTCTGAGCCGCACCCCGCAGTTCTTTCCAGGCAATAGCTACTCAAGCCTTACTTTTTTAAAAAAAATATATATGTTTTTATCGATTTCAGAGATGAAGGGAGAGAGAAACATCACTGATGAGGATCATTGATCGGCTGCCTCCTGCACGCCCCCTACTGGGGGGGATTGAGCCCGCAACCCGGGCCTGTGCTGGAATCGAACCTGGGACCCTTTAGTCTGCAGGCCGGTGCTCTATCCACTGAGCCAACCCGGTTAGGGCCTTTTTTTTTTTTTTTTTTCTTTATTGTTGAGAGTATTATAGACACACACCCTCCCCTTCCATTTTTTTTACCCCCAAGTCTTACTTCTTTTCCTTATCCCTCCAGGCCATTGAGGGCACCTACATTGACAAGAAATGCCCCTTTACCGGTAATGTCTCCATCCGAGGGCGCATCTTGTCCGGTGAGTGGGGCGGTGGGGGGGCTTGGGTTCAGATTTCTGGGTCTGAGGAAAGAGGGGTGGGGACACTCCTGGTTCCTGGGCCCTGGCAGGTGATGTCTGTTTTCACGATGGTCTTCAGATGCCTGTGACAGGTGCTGCTGAGAAAGCCAATTGGCAGAACTGATGCCAGAACCAAGGTTTCTTAATGCTGCTCGGCAGCTCCCAGCATGCCCTGGGCTGCCTGAGGCTCCCTTCCCCAAGGAGCTGACCCACAGCCTCCCCTCCCCCAGGCGTGGTGACCAAGATGAAGATGCAGAGGACCATTGTCATCCGCCGAGACTACCTCCACTACATCCGCAAGTACAACCGCTTCGAGAAGCGCCACAAGAATATGTCAGTGCACCTGTCCCCCTGCTTCAGGTGAGCACTGTGGGCGGCAGCCCGGGCCAGCCACCCTGCCC